TATTCCATTTCGGGGTGCCGTCCACCCGAAACTAAAAACTAATTAAAAAGCCATGTCATTCGAAAGGCCTGACACCGAGCCATCGAGCTTTTACCCGAATTTTCGGCCTGCTAATCGAATTGTTGAAACGCAATGAAACGAATGTCATTGGAGACCGGAAAGTACCTCGTTCTGAACTCGTCCCTCGTCCCCAAAAAAAAAAGCCCCCATCAAAGCCAATTCAATTCATATTCATTCCGGCCATCAAATGACGGCAAATGACAGCGAACAATGAAATCAAATTAAAATACACTTTAACGCCGCGCCGAGTGAATGACAATCAAAGGCTAAACAATGGACTGCCTGCCACCGAACGCGATCCGAAAATGGGGCGATTGAAATGGTTTTGAATGCCAAAACTCCCATTTTTATTGGCGTCTGACAGCCGAACAGGCGAAAGGAGAACGCCACCCATTGATGGTCGAAAATCCTCATGAAAGCTTCAAGAGTTGCGTGTTGCAGTCGTAATTAAATCCTGGCATCTCAAATGTCCATTAAAGTGAACTTCATTTGCTCATGTGCCAACTTTATGACTTCCCGGAAAAGTCGAAAAAAGGGAAAACGGAAGAAGTAAAACTTAATAAGTTGAGTGCAAAGTAAAACAAAATTACTGCACAGGGAAAGGGATTGGAGAACAAAAAGGACGTGGTGACGAAGGATGAAACTATGGAAGGATACTTTGCAAAAATAGGTGAATAAATTGGATTTTTTGTGGAAAGAAGAAAAGTTAATTGCTTTTATTGTGTGCAAAATTTGAATATAATATGATTAAACTCTTCCTTTTTGCAAAAAGGTTTTCAAATAAAGCTGGGGGAAGTATTATATTTATTCAGCTTAATAACATATGTTTAATGAGGTATTCGAGCATAATTAATCACCCCAAATCATGTTCTTTGTGTTTCCTAGACTTAGTTCCTTGTGTGCTTGTAAATAAAATCCTTTTCAACAGGATATTAAAACAATCATATCAAAGTACCTTTTTCAATTGGATTTTATCCCACTTAAATCAACAGTTTTTTTGCCAAAAGACAAAATGGCATCCAACTCTCGAGTTTCATTAGCCATGTTAGGTAAACAAGCACGCTTGCAAACAGAAGAGCCAGGATTTGGGATCCAGAATTCCGGGATCTGCAGCCTTCTTCGTGCCACTAAGCGGCTTAGTGAAAGTCCCTTGCCAAAACGAAAAAGAGACGAAAGAATATATATCTACATGTGACAGCCTTTTCCAGGGAACTCGACACCAAGACAGTCGCTTTGGTGTTTAAATAACTTTGACGCGCTTTCTGCATACACACACACACACACACACTCTTGAGTGTGAGTGTGGCATTTCCGGTCGTAATGGCGCGCACATTGCCAAAGAAAACTTTGATGACGTGGGCATGAGTTTGACGTGCCCAAAAGAAATTTGACTTCTTGCAAAGGGGCAACTTGGGAATTCGCCATCTACATACATATATGACAAATACACTGAGAGATTAATTCTGCTTTGGAATTCACTTACTTACATCATGGGCAGTAGTAAATTTCTAAAGAACTCGAAGTGATTGACGTTTCTTTCCTGTGAGTCAAATTAATATAATCCTGTAACTGTAAGGAAACTTCCTTTAACGATATTATACTTAATAAATACAAAATCAATAAATTTTTTTACTTCTCAAGACTATACCATTATTTTCCTCACTGCATCTTGTGCTTGTGTGAGCGTTTAGCTCGTTACAATTTGGCCAAGTCCCCAGTAACCCCAAAAAACGAGACGCTGCTGCTTCCAATTTGCGCTGACTAACTTTTCAAGTTGTGCGAATACAATTTGTCTCGCTTTATTTTTGGTGTCCAAATTGCTGCAATTATCATTTGGCATTTTGGCAGCGAATCGCGGCGCTAATGAGGCTTCAAAGGCTAGCCTGGGATGCATTGAACCGCAGAAGTCACAGAGCAGAACGCCCTCGCATATGCAACAGAAATTAAAGTCACACGCACCCCCAATGCGACATCCGTGCGGGGGAGTATGTGTGCCAGTATGCACTTCCCTTTCCGCTGCGCCATTGATACAAACTTTGTTCGGGTGAAAAATAAGAGAAGGAACAGAGCAGAAAGGACATGGAGGGTGAGATGCACAGGGAAAAAAGGGGGTTAGCTATGCAGTTAATATCAGATTGTGATTGGATGCAGCAAAGCTAAGTTCAGAAACATGAAAAGTTGTATATATTTATTAGATATAACGATAATTTGCTCCACAGAAAACATGTTAGACAAACCATTTTCCTATATCACAGCACATGAGTACTTGATTAGTTTCGGGTGAGAAAACTTTGTAAAAAGTTCCGTGTACACCATAAGTCAGATTCCATTCCGGCTTGCCGCAAAAAGTTACTGCGGATGAGTGGGAGCCAGCTCCAGCTTCTGAATCCAGCTCCAGAGCCAGGGAAATGACGATAAAGACGATGATGACTACCGACAATCCCAACCGAGTGGCGGCCACAGTAACGACAACTGACAGCCGCCGCCGTTGGCTGCAAGGATTCGCCAAGTCCTCCAGCACTTTTTATGTGCAACTATTTTGCATATGTACACTGATGTGTGTGTGTGTATGGGGTTAGGCAAGTTAAGACATGGAGATGGGTGGCACATCCCTTCGCACATCCTTGTGCTCGACGACAGCTGATATCGACGCCATGCCTTTGAGATCCATTAAAGCGGCAGAAGCTCCATATCCATCTTCTGGCTCGTAAACAGATACGGGAATAGCTATATCTCTATATCTGCGTGTGTTTGTGTCTGTGTGTATGTGGCTCCCGGCTGATAAGCCAGTGCCGTGATAAAGAAAATAGCTTCTGTTTACGGTCTCGGGTTGTGGAATATCGCAGGCAAATCGCTTTGACATTGAGTTAAGGGGCAGCAATTTAAATGAAAATCCTCGGCTTTAAGTCTGCGAATTTGGCTGAGACAAAGTTGGCACCATTAAAACTTATTAGCAATTTAATGCACGACTAGACATCGTCCAGTTTTCGTCCCCGGTTCGACTCTCCGGGGTTTATTTTTACGCTGCACGAATTTGTGGCAACTTCCCATGACGCCAGACATTGTAATGGCCAAATGCAGGACGAAATCGGGAAAGAGTGTGGCCTGGAGCCATAAAAATGTTAAAAACAACATGCTGGCTTCTCTACAAGCGCTTCAAGCATATGGGTTACAGAAGAAAGTCCTTGAAGAAGTCATTAAAAGGGAAATGTCTGCGAGTTTAAACAAGTCTTTTATTTAAATGTCTCAAATTAAGTTTTATTTCTGTTGAAAAGTTTAATTTCATGTTGGTTTCTTTTAATAAGATTATACAAGTATGATTTTTAGAGATTAAATTGGCTTTTTTGGCTGCATTTGATTTCCAAAATTTTCCATTAAATCGAGAGCGTTTCCCTTTCCCTAGAATTCAGATATTTTTATGTTCTCTTGTGCAACAAGCTGGCTGGAAAAACATCGGCATCAGTTTCCGTCTGGTTGCCGGCGTCATCTGCTGTCTGCTGACGCCGCTGTCTCTGGTTCAGTCTCTCTTTCCCCGAACCCATTACCTTCCCATTTCTCATTCCCCTCTGGATTCATCACCCAGCTTCCAATTTTCTCACTCTTTCCATACCTATTCTACTACCCATTCCCCTATATTTTTCATTCCCAGTAGTCACTAACCCATTCCATTTCAGGCACCAAAAAAATATTTAAAACAATATATATTTCAGATTTAACTAAATGCATACTTTGTTTTATATTTAAATAATATAAATAATAATAACAAAAGTTTATATCAAAAATTGAATGGATTTTTATGTTAGTGTTATTATATATTGACTTTATAATAAAAGATTCCAGTGTGACCAGCCCCTTCATCGAACCTTTAATTAATGAATGGAGCAATATAGTGTCATAAAAGCATCATTATACTTTTCGTATCTAAAATGAATAATATAGTCGCTTTATCTAACAAATATATTAAGCAAAGTAGTCATAATACATAATAAGTGCATACAGATAGTGCATTTGATCTTCTAAATAAAGACAACATATGTATAGTGTCGTAGAACAATAAGGTTTTTTTCGGTTTTAAAATATGAAAGAAATATTTTACTGCTAAAATACCATAAGAACTTTTTTCGAATCTAGCAATTATAAGGAACAATGTAGTATAATAACGGTATTATTATATTTTTTTGGGTCCAATATAGGCACAATTTAATGTCATTAATAATTACGCACTATGAAATAGGTACATTTTTCGGATTTTTCCGAAAGCACCAATGCAATGTAGTGTCATAATATCATCAATAAATATTTTTGATTTTAAAAACTGAATAACTTTCAATCTTCAATATCTAATTTAATCCTTATATTTTGTTGTGAGGTTTGAAGAATGATTTCCTCTCAGTGCTATAGCTTCCGTCCAGGTTGTCTGCTTCATGTCTGAGCGTCTAATTTAAAATTATGCAACTATTTTTTGCATCGCCTGCTTTTCCGCAATTTTCTCTGTCTCTCTCTCTGTCTTTATCTCTCTCTCTCTCTCTCTTTTTCTGGCCGTATGCTGGTGGCGAGTAGTATACGTATGCCACAATTTCCCAGTGGCACTCATTGACTTTGCCGGCTATTCGGCGCTGGTTTCTGGCGGTGCTGGCGGACAGTGTTTTGGGGTCATGCGTTGCAAGGCCCCGAACAACATTCATAAATCACTGGCAGAGGTGGGGCGGCAGCGGCGCGTACTGTTGTTTTTCTACTCATCGTTATCACTGGCAAGCTGCAATCGACAGCGGCAGAAGCACCACCCGCTCCGCTCCGGCCCCCACTTTGGCCGCCTTTCCCTCGAATCGTTGCACAAAAAACACATTAATCAATTCCGACCGACATCGTCTCTGGGATGGCTATGCCGGCGGGCCAGACCGCCTTGCATATATCCATTGTGTAGAGTGGATCGTGGAAAAGTCGGCGGTCCTGCAGCGCAAAACGAAAAACAAGGACAAAATGAAACCGTTACACGCTCAGCGAGCGCAACAACACAAAAAAGGACGACAAAATACTCGTAACTTTCCATAATGTGCAACGCGCGTGAAAATTCGTCCTTAGCTCGGCGTGAAAAATATGCGAGTAAGTCGCAGTGAAAACCCAAAAATAAAACGGAAACTCCCTAGCACACATAAAAATAAAAAAACTACAACAAAAACATGAAAGAAAATTGTTTACGCTGCAAATATTTATGATTTTCATTGGTCGAAGGCTTGGCCGCATCGCGAGAATTTATTTCAATGTTCGAGTGCGAGTATATGCGGAGCGATAAATATTTGGCCATAAATTTGGCATGTAATCGGGCAGCGAGGCATGTGGAAATATTGTTTGTCTCTGGCATTTGAATAATTTCCCCCAAAAAACAAACAAAAAAACACACAGGTTTCTATGAATTTTCAGTAACTCTATGAAACGTGGTCGACTGTAATTGTTAATCACCACACTTTGAATTCAATTACAATTTTAATGGTCCTAATATAATCAAAAGCATGGGAAATAATTTTCAATTTAATTGCAAATAAGATTAAACTGTATGAAATGAAAAATAACAGCTTTGGGCAAATTACGGATAGTAGAAAGGTAATTAATTTGCACAACTAACGGAATTTTGTGTTGAAAAACCAATGAAAATTTAAAAATACCTGTTTTTCATCAGAGCTAATGTTTTAAATTGAACGTTTAAATTGATTTTGATACTGTTTCTCATATGTATTAAAATACAAGTATTTTAAGAATGTAGAAATTAATAATAAATAAATACAGTATATATTTTGGGGGTGCTATAGAATTAAGTATAGCTTTTAAAACCCGTAAGAAAGAATCGTAAACTATACAAAAGAGTGTGGTGCCTAACAAATTTAAATTCTAAAAGTTTTTAGACACATTTTGTAAGAGATTTCTGCAGCAGCCAAGATGTAGTGTATATCATATAATTTATAAACCAAAAATAAACAAAAACATTAAAATGAACTCAACACTTTTATCTTTTTTCAGGCACAACAGTAATGACATTGAAATGGCGACAGAAATACAAAAGCAGAAAACGGCCAAAGAAACTGAAACAACGAATAATTGCAACAAACACTGCCCCAGCAACAGCAAAAGCAACAGCAAAAGCAACAACAAAAGCAACAACACCAAGAATAACACTTGAAACAAAGCAAACAACAAAAGCAACAATTGCAACCAGCAGACTGAGAGAAACGAGCTGTAAACTGAGGCGACACCGAAAATGGCTGCCAAATGAACGACACACGAGTGTCGCAAAAATGTTGCAAATGCTGCAAGCAACAACAGCAAAGCCAACACAATGTCATGCAATTAAAGTAACAGGAACAGCAGCAACATCCACAATGACTTCCAGCTGCAACGTTCATTGTCAGGAGCAACATGAGCAACTGCAGCAGCAGCAGCAACAACTGCAGCAGCAACAACAGCAACTACAACATCAGCCACAGCTGCAACATCAGCAGCGGCGACATCCACTTCCGGCGACGACTTCCACGCTGACGCTGCTCCTCTGCCTGGGCCTCAGTTTGGGCCTGGCCGCCACAGCAGCAGCTGCAGCTGGGGCTGGAGCCGGTTCCGGAGGCGGAGGAGGAGCTGCTGCCGGATCCGGATCCGGATCCGGAGCCGGAGCCGGGGCAACAGCTGGCTCCACATCCAGCTCTTTCGGGCCCGGCAAAACTGCCAATTTACAAATGGCACCCGGCTCCGCCTCCTCCCCGACAGGCTGCTCCCTCGCCGAGTACAGCTGCTCCAACGGACGCTGCGTGCCGCTGAGCAAGTACTGCAACAACGCCAACGACTGCGGCGATGGGAGCGATGAGCCTCGGTTTTGCACACGTGAGTGAAGCCTACAAAAAGGCATATATATATAAACTGGGGATAAATAGAGTTTAAAACCAATGAACATAAATCTAGGGAATGCCCTTACTCAACTGTTTAATTATATTTAGAAGCAAATGTTTTATATTTTTAGTTTTAAATTATATTCCCTTATCGCAAACAATGCCCTGACCATAAAAATACCGGGCCTGGGCTCAGGAAAGGTCAGTTAAGTACGAAAAACCTCTTAACAATGTGTCGAAGGCAATTATGTAAAGCGGAGAATAATGAGAAACAGCCAAATGGGCTGCCAGTGCATTGTTTGCCCAATTTGCCAGACGATTGATGGTCGTGAAGGGAAAGTAGAAAGTAGCAATTGGGTATATTGATTATCAGACGAAAATATCATGAAAAATATAAAATGTATAAGCTGAAAATAAATGCTAGACTTTAGCTAAGCAATCCGTTAAGTATACGCACCGTAGCCCCTACCAAGCTTTTAAATTGAAAATATTTTATCTATACACCTCAAACATTTTATTCCCATTTGGAGCATACCCTTATTCTCTGTATAATGTTAATTTAACGATCATTTTTTGCAGAAAAAGATAAAAATTACGTTGCGTATACGCACTGTATGCCCCACTAAGATATTAATTTCAAAATATTATTTCTCTCGATCTCAAAGCTAGAAATACCTCTAGAAGTATACCCTTATACTCTGTATAAAGAGCGGAAAAGGCCACACACTGATCCCCTTCCAAATGGATCCAATGGGGACTTTAATGGCTTCCCCGCTTGGGAGGCCAGAAGTGAATCCCCGCTGGAAGTGCAGTGGGCAGGTGGTGGGCAGGCTGGTGCGGACTCTAGGCAGGTAGAACCTGGAAGCAATCAAGCTTGTCAAACCCCATAACCGTCCGGCAATCATCTCCCTCCGCTGCATCCATTCACTGGCCGCCCTTGAAAACACGGCCTTCATGTGTAAATGTAATTAAGCACTCCCCGCTCGCACATGGAACAGCGCAGAGATTGCCACCCCATGCCTGCTGCCCCATCCAGCCCTCCGGCACTCCACATCCACATTGGCCCTCATAATGGTGGCAAAGTGAACTTCTCACTTTTGCCAATTGGCTGCCAGTAAGCCCCACAACTGGCCATCCCGGGCAGCTCCCACTACCGACCGCTCCCGTTTCCCCTGCGCGTCATGTCAAGCGTTGATGAATTTAATTAAGTATTTTTCAATGACATCCAATGAGGCGGACGGGCAGGATGAGCAGCAGCCAGGCTGCTGATGAATAAGGACAGCGACAACTCGTTGGGCTTTTTAATTGAACAACGAGCTTATCGAGGGGCCCAGTGCTTGAACTTGTTTTGTGGAGGAGTTTTGGCCAGAAGGACATGCCCACTTTGCCGCTGATATTAAAAACCATTTCGAGCAATTATAAGAGCTCACACAGCGAATTCTGTGATGAGTCCTTGGGGTGTCCATGAAAATACTCTGCAAACATCAGGTATGACAGACAATAATACCAGGCAAAACAATGTGATTTATATCATTAATAAAGTATATATTCAAGCATCAGTAAAGTAAATGTTCAATGAAATATGTTAAGCTAATAAACACATTTAAATTAGAGATTCGATTTAGCTTTACTGCCAAGATTGATAATTTGAATAATTAAATAAAGCAAAACTGTTTTTAAACTTTTCATGAGTAGCCCTATATTTATTTCTGAATAATTGTAGTTCTTGAACCTAATAACTCATCCCATTCAGAAAGCTATTAAATGTGGTTTGTTGATGTTATTTGGCATCTAAAATTCCTAATTGAATGGTCAATACGGGAAATACTATAATTTGTGATTACTCGCTGGGGCAGTTACAGAAAACGCCCATTAGAAAATTGCTCGCAGGCTGACTGAATGACTGACTGACTGACAAACACATTGATGGACTGACAACCAGACAGGCAATCAAATTGAAAACACGCCTACAGCCCTTAATCCCTCCGTTACGAATGCAATGAAACTATTGCCATAATTATCTAATTGACTATTGATGGCTGAGCGCATAATAAATTTAATTGAATGCACAGAAAGCAATTGGAGCAGCAACAACGCCACCAACACTTGGCAATTTATTCGAATTGAATTATTTCATCCAGCGGCTGTCCGCAGTATCTCTCTCCGTCCGATTCGCATGCATTTTTAATAAAACTAATTGAAATGCCCGGGGAGAATAAACGATGGTGTGGTGTATATAGTGGCAGGATTTACCAGGATCCAATAAGAAATTGCCTATTTCCATGCAAACTACTTTGGCTCCAGGACTCTCGCTCTCAGCCTTAGTCTCTGTCTCACTAAGTTTTTGGGTATCCACAGCAAGGACATCGAATATACAAAGGGCCGGACTTATAACTCCATAAATGCAAATCACACAAGCATAAATCATGGCAGTTTGTGGTCATTCAATTATGAAAAGGAATTCCGAATTCGAATACGTAATCGAGTGAGAGCAGAGAAAGGGTTATCGATGGCTTTTTTATTCATTCAGTGTAGGAGTAAACAATTCAATTGGAAAATTCTAAGAATATTAAATGTTTATGCACAAACACAAAGATTATCAGGCATAGTCTTTGATTAAAACAATGTGAAGTGAGAGGAAAACCAAAGATATGAATCAAGTGAATAAAGTTATTTTTATTTTGATTGATTAGCTCCAAAAGGGAGAGACCAGAAATTAAGTTATTAAAGAGTAATATTGAAAAAGAAAAAAAAAATTTAAATCAGCCATCACAAATGCAAAACTAACTGAAAGCAGGCTAAGGCCTTGAATTAAATTCATTTACCAGAAATTCATTTATTAAATTACATTTTCTACCCTTAGGCAAACATTGACTTGAATCCAACACAAAAATGATTTAAATCTGCACATAAGACTCTAATAACTTCATCTTAAAGCCAAGATAACCTAATTTTACCCGCACACTTTTCTCCCTCCCCAGTAAGGTGTGAATACATTAAAGTGAAGGTACCTCAAATTATTCACCTTAATGGATTAATCTACTTTGCGATCCAATCAGTTTGCATATGAACTTAATGTTATGTTAATTTGATACTCTGGGCTAGCATCTGCCTTGGCCTGGCGATGATTTATGGCGTGACAATTGCTATTCCCGGGGCGTCTCATTGGGTTGAGTTTTGGGAGGGAAGGACTTTCCTTTGGGCTTTGAGTTATCCTTGGCTTTTCCAATTGTATCAGTTACTGGCGGTTGCCTGGCAGCGCCGCCAGTAAACAAACTAATTGCCAAACTAACGCTAATTGCATACAATTCATATCTATATATATACATATATATACTTATATATATTCGCAGGCTGTAATCGCACCTACTACGGAGACATCGGGCAGACGTACGCCCTGGAGTTGCACCGACCCAAGCAGGATCGCGTGCCCTTTGTGTGTGTGCTCACGTTTACGGCGGCAGGTGGGCAGCACGGCGACGTGGTGCAGGTGAGAATAGGTTTAATACCGAGAGAAATCAATTACATTTTCAACATAATTAATTATTATACATAGAACGAGATTTGATTATTACATTAAGATCATTTAATGTGAAGATTATTTTGTAGCAATTTGTTGTTCAAGTCGGGTTTCTTCAGCTCATCAGAAAAGAATCTCACAGTATTACGACTTAAGGTTTTTTATATTGTGATCAAGGATTTTCTCCATGTGTACCTTACAACCCCCACCTGCTCCCTCATCTCCCCTCTGCCACTGCCTTTCACATTTCATTTTGTAAACGGGATAAACTACGCCATTAAAAGATAAGCAACAACAAAGGCGCTGTAGGGAGGTGTCCAAGGGGGATGGCAAACGGGTCCTGGGGTGGCAGAAGCAATATTGATTTCAAAGCCAGTCGTCGGAGCGTAGCAAATCCTGACCCCGACAGCGTCACCGCCAACACCACCCAATTTCGACCAAGCAGGAAGCAAGTGCCGGCGCCTGTTAGTTATTACGCCACTTCACACCTCCAATTCGAATGGAGGATGCAGTGGCAGTGGCAGGAGCAGGAGAATCAGGAGGAGAAGGAGCAGGGACACCAGTAGGGGCAGCCGGCAGGCAGCCAAAGCCTTTGGCATGCTCGAGTGCGTCCCAAGAGCATTCTGCACTGATATCCACTGAGCTACGAGCACTGACCGAAACTTTATTACCGACACCCCCGTTCGGCACATCCGGCAAATATTTTATGCCCCGCAGGGGAAGAGGACGAAAAGCTTACCAGATTCGGGACCGATTTACGCCTTTGGGAGTAAATTAAGAACGCTTCCGTTCTCTCCAGATGGTTGAGCTCTCTTCAATAAATAATTCTGTAATTGTATAACAAAGACATCATTTGCGTTATTTGAATTTAGAAGTCTCTAAAATTTAATATAACAGAATAGCAGTTAAATATATATCTTAAAGTTCCCCTTGTTCTGAAAGTTGTCAAGACATATTCCATGATATTCCACACTTTTCGTAGCCTTGTAAAGGCTTTATCTACGACATATCTCACACACTTATTGCCCGTATTGCCGCAGGTCACCCTGGACAGCTTCACGATTGGGAGATTCACCTCGTACGTGCACGAGGGCTGTCCGGATGGATACATGCAGATAGCGGAGTCAGCGCGAACGCCCATCGGCGGAATGTGGTGCGGCACATCCTGGGGACCAGTGCTCTTCTACAGCGAGACCCGCTCCCTGATATTCACCATCCGGCTGAACAGGTGAGCACACAGGACCAGCTCTCAGCTACCGATTAAACACATAATTAACTGACCCCGATTCGTATTTATATAACCCGCAGACTGGCGAGGGATCAGAGTGGTTACAACTTCGACTTTCGCATCCGGTACAAGGTGCTCTCCAGGGACAGTTCGGTGACCCGCTACGGGGGTATTAAGCTGGCAGGTGAGTGTGGTGCTACATGCACTGGGATCTAGTCCTAATCCTCTCAAACGCTTTCCTATTTTCAGAGCTAGCCCAGTGGCATAACCGCAGCAGCTTCCTCAACCAACAACAGCAGCAGCAGCAACAGCAGCAACAGGCCCCAGGAATCCTGGAGGACTTCACCAACTCGAGCGTAGCCCGTTCTGACCGCTATGGCCAGGATTTTAGCCTGTTTAGCGCATATGCCAATAACAAGACCTTCATGGCCTCACTGGAAAAATCCCTGGCCAAGGACGAGCAGAACTACACGGAACCAAAATACTATCTGGGTGAGCTTCTTGGAGTTTACTCGTTTATTAAATTCCTACGAAAATCCAACTTACATTTTGCAATTAAATTCTAAAGTGACTAACTCATTAAATATAATTTTTGGCTGTGACATCTGTTTCTCGCATTCGCAGGTGACCTCATACCCGGGACCTACTGCTCAAGGATCTTCAGCGACTGCGACAAGAAGTCCTGTCGACTGCAATCGCCCAACTTTCCCGGTATCTATCCCCGCAACCTCACCTGTTACTACGCAGTGCGTCAGGTGAGCTGAGAATAATTAAAACGAAATTAAACTCCTGCCTAATGTCCTGGCTCTAAGGACGTGCTAAGGCAAAAGGTTAGCCAGGTTAGGTTTCGGAGCTAAGTCATAAAAGAGCACACGTAAAGCGTATAATGTGGTGCCTTATTTTTATTCATGCCACAACAGAGTTCACAAAATCAAGGGAGGAAAAAATTAAATGGCAATTTACATTCCAAAATAGAATGAGCTTTTATTATAATTAACTGGAGGAGCAGAAATTGCCGTCTGAAGCATCCCCATCCCTCGATCCGACCACTTCGGCATTTTTAATATGTCTGCGCCGGCTGCCCGACGGGGATTCTCCTGGCAAAGGACTCGTTGCCAATGGCAATCAACTGTTAAAGGTCTCACATGCTGTGGATGTCCCTTTTAAATTGCAAATTGTTTACTGCCTGCTAGCAGGGAGCATAATGTGCCAGCACTGGATTTAAAGTCGAGGATGTTGTCTTAGACTTGTAAAGAATTCTGGAAAATAATGCTAGACATTTTAGCTCTTTTTGGGAACTTTTATTTATGGTTGTATTTACAGGCAATACAAAACATTTAGATAAAATACCCCAATTAATCTGAAACAATTGTAAAACTCAAAGATCAATCACCATTTGGTAATCCACCCAGTAACCAGCCAAGGGAACTTTCTGTAATTTAAATGCTCCCATTAATCCTCCCATTTCTAACAGAGGAGGGAAAGCGGAACTGGGATTGTCAAAGAAAACATCCCGTGCTTTGCAATGCGGCTCATTAATTTGCATTTAATTCTCCTGTCCACACAGCACGACGTGCCCCATGGCAAGCACGCCCTGATTCTAGTCAAACAACCGAAGGGCAATCTGGTCTGGATTTCCACCCAGGAAACGGCCGCGGCGAATAAAATGGCACCACCGCCGAGTGCCAGCGACAAGGATAAGAAATTCGAGCCGAGGCTGAAAACATGGAATGACTGCGATTACATTCAGGTAATTAAATCTGCCTTAAATGCACTTTACCCTCCTCTCCCCCTGCTATCTGCTATCTCTCTGCCCCATCTATCTGCATCTGTATCTGTATCCGAATCCCCGGATCTGTATCCGCATCCGTTACTGTCCCCGTCCAGTTGCCCGATGAACTCCTCTGTGTTTGCATTTGCCAACTTTAACGAGAGATCCAGCATAAAAATTACTTCCTCTGTTGACCAGAGCAAGAGGGAAGTTTTTCGGGTGGGGGTTTGGGGGGTTCATAGTCGGTTGGAAAACTGGGGAAAAACTGCGCAAAAAACGACAAATTGAAAAAGAAATGAGCAAAAATCTGAAATCAGTTGTTTGCCATCCCACTCCCAGTCATTTTTTCCCTCCGATTTTCCACTGTCATTGCCCCGGCATTGTGTGTCCGAGTCCCGGGCCTGTCCCCACGTCCACGTCCGAGTTCCACGACGAAGTCCTTGGTGCTCCATGCTCCATTCTCCGTACTCCATCCATCCGACATTGCCCTGGGCACTCGATAGGCTATCTTCTCTTCTGGCCAGCGCCAGTCGCGGGAAGTGTTAATTTCGTAGCCTATTTTTTTGTTTGTCAACGGGGAGCGGGATCCATCCGCTCGTGCCCGTGCCTGGAGTCCCCATAAAGCTCCAACTTAAAAGGGGCAACTTTTGGATGAGCTCTTAATGAGCGTTGTGTATGCAGAATGGTGCATAAATGGGGGATAAGCCGGCAGCGGGAAAGCGGGAAAGCGGGAAAGCGGCAAAGATGAGGGATACGAGCAGTGGAAATAAGCCAGCGAAATGGGATATGGTTGAAAGCACCGCTTCCAAGAAGTAGGATTTAATGATGGTACCTTAATTATATTAAATATAAGAGAACATCTAATGGGATATTCAGAAAGGGCAGAAGTAAAAATATTTGAAGGGGGAACTAATTACACTTGGGAAGTGTTAAAATATAAGGGAAATTAATTACTCTTTCTTGGATTATCTCTGTACTGTCCACTTTCTACACGAAGACTTGTAAGAATACATCTCTTCGGAGAGTTATAGTTATATAAATAAGACACTGTAGTAAAAAGAAAATATGAAGAGACTAGATTAATGCTCAAGAGAAGCAGAAAAAACTATACAAAAAATGGATTTAAGTTTAATTAATACTGAGGAAAGAATTACAGGACATAGAACATTAAAACTTGATAGAAAAAAACTAATGGAAAGGACTAAAGTTACTGGATGTTAGGTAACCGGTTGAACTTATACCCCAATAAATTTATTTCTATTAAGAGCACCCCCTTCTCACAATTTCTCGAATTGCACCAACCTATAGAATCTGCTAAGCAAGTGATTACGATTACGATTACTCAAGTATCTATAAATGTGTATGTATGTATATTTTCTCCAATAGGAAAATGTAAAGCCCAAATGGAAATCCACGGTAATGCCAAACTAAAGAAAATTTCCTCGCTCAGTTCAATGCAAATCGATTCAATTCAGTTCAATTCAATTCAATTCAAACTCATGAAGCCCACAAATCAATTTTAGTCGTAGAATTAGTAGTGAGCACTTAAACTCTGACACCAAACCACAAGCCACTCTATCTCTTTATCTCTATCTCTATATACATATATATACATATATATACATATATATATATATATATATATATATCTGTATCTCCACCATTAGCAACAATTATATGCCATCCTTTGCTGTTCGAAACAATTAATCAAGCCAAATTGTATGCACAACCCCCTAAGCCCAGGCAAACAAACAACAAATCAAAATGATCTGGGTAAATCGACATCTATGGATTATCTATGGACTGGATAATATATTCATTAGCACACACGCGAGGGGAAAAATCTGTCATTGGATTTATATTAATGAACACTTGGCACGCACATCATAAATCGCACACAAAGACAGCGGTCGAGCGAGGGAGTTGAGGGGTCGGGTTTGCCGGGGAGGGATACTGTGAGGACATCAAGGACATTAGTGGACGAACGTGCCAGGGACCCATGTAAATAATTGCCCCGGGCATTCATCATACAAAAGCGAAGAGGAGCAGCCAGTCAGTTGAGGATGCGATGCCACTTCTGATGGATTTCCCACTTCCGGGCTCCATTCAGAGCGCTTTAAGCCGATCTGCCGCAGCGGTCAAAGACATTCCTTCACCGCGTTAGGGGGCTGTCATCCCTATACATATACCATTACCATCCCCTAAAGCTCCGCTAAAACGTTTTGACGATTTCCGTGCCGTGCCGAGGAATGTTGCTTTTAGTTGCCCATTTAGTCATCAGCAACTATTCAATTTCGCTTCGCAACAAAATCCCTCTGAAAGGATGACCCCGTGTCCTCCGCCAGCAATTCCCCCATTAAATGCTCGTTGTGGCAGCAAATCCTCCCCGTCCTTCCTTCGGATGGACTATCGTCCTAGCCCGCAGACCAAACCCCTTCTTTACTTTTTGCTTATTCAGTTGGAAAGCAATCCGCTCGGACGTTAGCGCCATTTGCAAGGATTGCACGAGGATACTGGCTCCCGGCTACCGGTCGGGCCTGCACTCTGCCTACAAATTGTCCTGCGTTCTCCATTCTCCGGCGCCTTTTTTTACCACTTTTTGTCGCGCTCTTAAGCCAAAATGTCCAAAAGTGCTGGCCATTTTGGTGCGGCATGTGTGAATAATCGCCGGATGGGCGAGACTCCCGCAGCCTGAGCATCGGCAAAGGAATGGAAACCATGGAGAGAGCCTTCGCTGAAACCCACTCAGAAAAATATATCCATTGTTTATCTATAGGGGAATCAATAATACTGAATTGAAAAATGTTCAACACCTGGAAATTAATGAAAACATTTACGACCAAGCTCTGATCTAGCGATAAATAATAATATGTTTAATGGTATATAAGTATCTCTAGACGTATGTTAATTAAAATGTCCTGGAAATCGTCAAGATAATTATTCTTTTTCTTTAATTTCAAATTCCCTCAGAAGTTAGCCATTTTGTTCTCTGTGCATCAACCCTTCTTCTCCTAAAATATGCAACCAAAAAAAGAACTGAGGGTCAAAAGGCACAAAAAAAGAGCCTCCTATATATGTAGTATGACCCCCATCTGTGTCCTCCACTAATTTGTACAAATGCCGCGCTTTCAATAAATTTGTGGTCACAAATTACCTGGACCTCTTGCACAGGTTTACTGGGTGTCCTGCGGCTGTGGCTCCACCTCCGTCCTCCGCCTCCGACCCCGAAATCTGGTCTGCGGTCTCTGGCATAGTTTAAATTTGCGGCCAGCTGCAAAAACAAGGGCGACCGGGAAACAGAAACCTCAGCTAAATTAATGCAAAAGTCGCTGGCCACAAAACTAATTTGTCATGCGTTGGCCAAAAGGTGGGCAGTGCCTCTGGTCAGAGGCCCACACTGCAGTGTCGGTCGTCACTCCTGCTCCCAATGCCATTACCCCCAGTACCGTGTGTGTGTGTGTGTGTATATAGTGAGTATAACCGCCCACTCTGTCACCCCGCGGCAAGGCCAACTCAATTAAAATGCGCAAAATTATGCGCAAAATGCCAAAGCCAGCAGAAACCGCACATAAATGTATACGATCAGTTTATGCGATTCTTAATTTCAAGTTTTCAAAACATAAATGGCTAAAGCTTAATATAGTTACCATAAAAATGTAGTTAGTAAATTAAATATTCTAGCAACTACATTAAAATCTATTGTTAAAATTTCGAATAATTTGCTCTCTTTGAATTATCAAGAATTTACTTTGCACATATTTTAAATTTAAAGTTTTCAAGAATTTGGGACACAGAGAATTTTATTAATTTATTCGTAATAAACTTTACAAGTTCTTACCTTGTTTGATATAAAACAAAAATATACTTCCATCCTGGCACACAATTTTTTCTAAAATTCTAATAAAAACCACCTAAAATAGCTTAAGAATAAATTTAAACATTTTAATATTGTGAGTTACACTAACAATGCACAAAATAGGACCAAGAACTGCCCACCAAAGAACCCACGTAAAGACCATGTCAGGAGATTTGAACTCGCATAGAAGAACATAAAAACGTAGCCCGCATAAACATACTTCCTTGACTTAAAACAAACTTTAAATGAGCTCAAAATGTTCGACATTTAGTGGACATCAAGTGGCGGACACATCAAAGCCATTGTGCTCAACTACTTAGACCTCTGGCCAGGCCATTCCCATTCCTCCGCTAGCTAACACGCCGCACCATTACTTTCCATCGTCCTGGGAAGCGGAATGTAACCAAAAATCACGTATACGTCCAGTGGCCATTAAGTAATACGAGAGCCCGGTTGCCAGCTGCACTTTGGGTCCACTTCTTTACAGCAATTACCGTTCTTTTGCACTCAGTTCGACTTAGCCCCATCGTACCGCCCTTCCGAACCCATTTTGGCCACACTCGGCCTTCAGCTTCAATTACTACACGGCGAGAAAACACTCACAAACTATTATTATTTTGAGCACTTTTCTAACACATTTTATTGACAATCTTAGGAAGAGTTTAAACATATGTTTTCAACGTTTAAAAGCTGTATAAAGTGATTAAACACTTTCATTTTCGATCATATATTATGTTAATAAGTGATTTAATAATAAAACAAAACTTAAAAGTTCTATACAAAAGAAATATAAATATACATTCAAATAATTAAAGCTATGAAACATAAATTATTTCAAGAATAATCACTTTATTAAGGCATTTATCTCTTATTTAAAATTAAATATTAATATGCTATTCACTCGTGTTTTTGTTTAAATAATTCAAACCGATTTCCGGTATACATATTTGTCCTCTGTAACATTTAGTTAGTGGCACCCACATGGTGAAATCAAGAAACCACCACCCACATTTGTCGTCCGACTCACTCATTTCGTTCTCTCCTCACCCAACTCTGCTTTCTCTCTGTCTCTTTCCCTCTCTCTCTCTCTCTCTCTCTCTCTCTCTGTGTCTGTTCGTCCTTTTTGGGCCCGCAGGACTACGTGACCGTGTATGATGGCTATACCACACGTGACCCCATCATTTTGAAGTTCTGCGGCGGCGGTCAGGCGGTGCCGGCGGCCGTTTCCAGCGGCCCGGAGCTTCTGGTCGAGTTCAGCACGTCGCCGTTTGGCACCTTCACCGGCACCTCGTCGCAGGTCCTGCCACTTTACGGTTTCCAGCTGGAGGTGAGTGCCGCCGAGTCCCGTAACAATCTGCCATTTTAATCACTTGTCTTCGGTTGTTTGCGTTTGCCTCGCAGGTGGAAGTTCAGTTCGTGGACATCCAGAGTCCCACGTACTCGAAGAACAAGAAGCCATGCGAGTTTTGGATTCGCGGCGCCGGGCGTGGCATTCTGGAGAATCCCAAGCATTCGCTAGCACCGAACTCCACGTGCCTGTACCACCTGCAGGGACTGGGCGTCTTCAAGACCTTCGACCACCTGAGTTTGTCGCGACGGACGAGCAGCCAGTCGGGAATGCATCAGCCGCTGTCGCGCTTCAAGGTCTGGATATCCGTTCTCAAGTTCAACTTGGATCCGGAGTTCGGGCGAGTGGATGAGACCTCTGTGGGAGCGATAGGAGTGCTGCAGACGCAAGAGGATTGCAGTGGCATGCTGCGCATCTGGGATGGAACTCTGAGGGATGCTCCCGTCTGCAAGGACTTGAACTGGTAAGCTTTTACAAGACAGAAAAGCTAAATTAATTTATTTTTTATACCTTTTTCCCTTCTCCTTTTTTCTAGTGTTAGCGAGACGAGTAGCTACAACACCTTGGGTCACTATGCGCACAATTCCACCAATGTTATTGCCCGTTTCTGTCGGGGCACAATACCCCGCACCTGCGATCGTTCCAACATTAATGAGACCTACGCCCGACCCTGCACCATCTCCGAGAGCTATGTGTCCACAAGTGATGCCATCACACTGGAACTCCGCAACACCGAATCCACTGTGCTCAGGTGGGTTCTCCTCTAAAGATTATAACCATCATGAACTCTTAGCTATCTTCCTCTTTTGCAGACCACTGGACTTTAAGCTCAAGTACGAGTTTATTGACCTGCACCAGGATGGACTTCCCTGGGGTGGCGGCGAACATGATTGCAACCGAAAGTTCCTCAGCAACATGATGGACCGAAAGGATCCCGCCATTTTCCGGAGTGTTCGAAATATATTCCTTTTTGGAAGAGGCGGCACCAGGAATCTAAAGTGTGTCTACAAGTTCGAGGCACAACGAGGAGAACGGGTCCGGATTAAGCTACGTAAGGTGACAACCACCAATCGACCCTGCTACTCGCGTGTGGATGAGGACATTAACCGATCCTTTTGCTACGGGGATACCAATGTTAGAATTGAGGTGGGTGAACTTATATTAAGTCAAGAGCAGGTTATTAAGGAGTCTCTTTCTTTCAGATCTTTGAGAGGCCCTATCACGACTCCATCTTGCTCCATCGCGGCTGTATGTGCAACTCCTCAAATCAGTCCCACCTGCCCGTGGAGTACACCTCGACGAGTCGCGATGTGGAGGTGCACTTCATTGCCCAGAACATGACAACTTTGGATGACCCCGATACGGTTAACTTCGAGGGCATGTTCGAGTTTGTCAAGGCCCCGACAAGCTGTAAAGATGGACGCAGAAAGTTTGGTCCTAGTGGTACCATAGATATGACCTTCGGAGATGTAAGTACAGATCTTTAATTCTTATCCAAATTATCTAATTTAATGGAAATTGTATTCTTTAGGTGGAGTGCCGCTCGAGACCCTGGTTGATTGAGCCCTCGAATGGCAATAAGTTCTTATATGTGCGACTCAAGGCTATCTTCCTGAGTAAGCACAATCCGATGAAGACTCTGAACACAACCTTTGTTCAGTCGGATACTTGGAGATGTGAGACCAAATCCAGAGCTGTGCTAACTACTTCGGAGGGTGAGTTTTTAGGCTACTTAATATTTCATTATCCGACAGTGCTATAAGTTAAAATTAATTTAATACAAATCCCACAGGTCTCACCATTGTGGCCTGTCCTCTGAGTCCCGACTCGAGTGCCTACGAATTTGTGGAGATCTTCAGCTCTGGATGGAATGAGAGGCCCAACTTTGCACTTATCAATCGATCAAGGGCCATTAGCGTGGAGTTCCTGAGACCAGGAAATGGCGAGTACTCCTTTAACTGGATGGAACTGATACCCAGGCCCACGCTTAGCATGGCGGGTTAGTACATCTCAATAATTTAATTAAAATTTAAATTAAATATAAATCATTTTCGGCAGAGGACTGTCAGTTCAAGTGCGCCGAGCTGGGAGCCTGTGTGAATGCCAGCGTTTGGTGCGATGGCGTCGTCCACTGTCCCTCAGGTGATGATGAGGCCTTCCTGCAGTGCTCGGCTCTGATGAAGCTGCCCGCCGAGATTTTGGCCACTCTCTGCCTGATCTTTGTGCTCTCGTGTTGTGCATTTGCTGCCTTTGCCTACAAGTAAGTAGGGTTGATTCCTGTGGGGGGGATGTTTATTTATGAAATCCCAAAAAGGACTCGAGAACATTTTTATTATTTTTAAATTGTTTCAGGAAAATCAAACGCAAGCTGCGGGGCTCCTCGGTGCTGCAGACGCGACTCAAGTCGCTCAGCTCGATGGACACCGCTGTGCTGGATGAAAAGGAGGTGATTTGCTGACAAAGCGACAATTCTGTGCGTTACGTGGAGATCGACCGTGTGACCACGGTCTGATGCTCGACGGCCAGTAACGTGCAGAATTGTGCCCCGGAACAGACACCAGAATCGCTACCACAAGCCAACCAAGAAACAGAAACCACAACCACAACTGACGCGAATGCGAAACGCAACAATGAAACGATCAAAAGAAAAGGCAACACTTTTTCGCAATCAAAATCAAAACCAAAACCAATACCAAAATCAAAATCGAAATCGTTCACTTGTTTTTTAAACCGCATTTATAAGAGAATCAACCGGAATCCGCGACACTCGGCCGGATCGCGTTTTTTCTATTTGTATTGACCTCTATTTTATAGATCGCAAGACTCATGTCGGATGACTCGTGCTCGTTTTTTTCCAGTGTCGCGCAATTTTATAAGCAATTTTCTAGGCCTAGGGTTTTTTCGTATGTATTTTCGATATAATTTCCCAACTTGACCCACTTGAGCACACATATACTGTACATAACACGGAAGGACGAGGACCAGAAATCGAAATCGGACTGACTCTGACCAGTTACAACTTCCTCTAGGCGCTCGTGTCCTTGGTTCTTACAGAGTACTCATAGACCTATGTAGATACAACTGTTTCCTAATAGCCTTTAAGTGAATCGTACTATGCTAATCGAACCGACTAAATAAAATTGAGGGAATAGATACATCCAATCAATGAGCTAGAGACCATATAATGGTAAGATGTGTAACGTCAAATGGTTCTAAACTCTTTTGAAATTTTGTTGAGAGAGCGGCCACAATCTCATCTGTTTGTGGAAGAAAAACAGAATCATTAATATATGAGCGTTACGCATCTTATCAACATATTATCTTTAGTTGAGAAAACGAGCAGGGGAAGGATTAGTTTTTTTCGTGGAGTGTTTCAGAAACTCCCACAGCATTTATTATGCGGCGCACAGAAAACCAAAACAAACATGAAGAAACCAAATGAAAAATACTCATAATTAGTAAAAATTAAATGGAGCAAGGAGTTTAATCGACAATTCCAAGCGTAGATCGTAAGTGGAACATGTTTTACATTTTAAGATTGATGGATGCATCGTAAACGTAACATAAATTAGTCGCCAGGGGGACGCGGAATGGGACGGGAGGCAGTGTTTAGTGGAATATGTCAATATATACATTATATAGAAGCTAGATGAATTCGTTAGTTGTTTAATAGACGTTGTAGTGATCATGGATAATATCAGCATAATCAAAGCTAAATCAAGCCAACAACTTAGAGGTATCTCGTCGTATTCAAAGTACTCAAAAATCCAAGTCGTCGTCAGTCATTCAGTCAGATCTCACGCCCATTGTTGTTAATGTTGATTGTTTGTTGTCTCCAAAGTGCACAGTTCGCTCTCATAGACCAACCATGCCACATCATCTAGCGCCTGCTCCCTCACACCAAAACCAACTCAAATCCGATCAGATCCAAACCAACAATCTTTGCATGGTATTCCTCGTATGTTGGCTCTCGGCACTCGATGGCAGCTGGCTTAATCGAATCCTTTTCTATTTTGTATTCTCTCTTTGAATATCCCTTTTTGTGTCGAAGAAAAAAACCGTCGTTGAGACCAAGATCTAAGGCAAAGCAAAGCAAATGCCCGGCCTGGCCATATGGAGGGAGCAGGATCAGGGATCAGGGACTCCGAAACAGAGACAACAGAGAACAACAGAATCAGTGTGTGAATCAGGCGAAATGCTATTTTTGTTGATACTCTTCTTCCTTTTTAAGAACTGTAAATAAAACAAACAGAAGCTGTATGATATTAACAATTTTACACTGAGCGTTTTATTTGCCATTCTGCTATACTCACACCTCAGTTGCACTCTCAAATAGTGAACATGTTTTGATACTCGAATCAAACTCAGACAATAAACGCTAAGGTCTACTCCTTTGTAACTCGAAGGTAACTTATTTCAATTACTGATTGCGAACGCAGGGCAGCAAAGCAATTCTGGGAATGGCCTGCCGCTGATTACATACAAGCGTAAATATTTATATTAAACCAAAACGTAAGCGCTCAACTAACTATTAACAATTAAATTAAACCATTCAAATATTAAAACTTAACGAGTTATTAGCGAAACTGCCCAAAATAAAACCAATTGAAACAATGTTTGTCGTAACCTAGTTTAAAGAGCGATCTTAAACCGAACTGAAACCGGATGATGATGAGTATCGCCTGCAGAGTAGATTTTTAAATTTTAAATTAGTTTAAAGCGAAACGTAACTGATAAATAAAACACGGAACATGGTAAAACAGCATGACTAAATAATTCGAATGTTGAATGAAAAAAATCATATCAGATTCTAAAATGATATTAAAATTAAATGGAAAACTGAACAACTTAATAAACGAGCATTTAAATCCCCAAAAAACAAACTGCATGAGAACATTATTTCAAACAGAACTCTTTACAGCGGATACATGGTACATATAAACACTAGTAGATTTTAATCAATATGTAAATATACATATATGGGTAATTCTTTTTTTAATGTATAGTTCCCTCTACGTATGTTAAATTGAAGGTGTTTTAATTTATAATAGTGTAATTGAAAAATATCAAAACATTTTTATTTGATTTATTTGTTTCTGTCTGATTGAAGAACAACTTTTTTGAAGGTTATTTTTAAAGTAAACAAAAACTGCTTTTAATTCCAAAGGATATAAACATCTGACCAAAATTACATTGCTTTTCTCAAGGTATATTATATATTAAATAGGGATCTATGGAATAGAATTAGGAGAATCGTACTAATCTTTTAAATACGTGGGAAACTGAGTGTCTTCAGAGGGTGGAGCTGGTATTGTCACTCCGCCCGTGTCCACGGTAGGCTCATGGGGCAACGAGTCAATGCTCTCAAGCGGCATAAAGCAATCCGCGGATATCTGCAGATATTTCCATTTAACCCCGGGATTCTAAAATATGAGAGAATATGAACTTACCTCTCCATTCTTGTCGGCCAACTTGCGGGGATATTTGAACCCGGCAGCTCGTGTGGCATCCATGGAATCCTCACAGTTGGTGATTAGTCCCTGCCGATGATCCTGCTTGTGGGCCAGCAAACGTTCGGCATTTATGGAGGTGTAGCTGCACAAGTCACAGCACAGATCGCGGTAGGCCTCCGCATGGTTGAGTCGCATGTGACGCTTTAAGGCATTGGCCTGGATGCAGTTGTAGTCGCACTGACTGCACTTGAGGGTGCCGCTGCTCTGGCTAGCCTGGCTGGTGTGCCGTTGCCGATGCTTGTGGAGGACACTTGGATCGCGGGTGGAGAACTTGCACTCGCCGCACTGCAGCGGCTTCTCTCCGGTGTGCTGCCGCATATGGATCTGAGTTGAGGTAGAGAACAAACAGTAAAGGAGAGCTATGAAGTTGAATCCTTACTATTAAGCTCGCCTTGCGCGCCGTCTTCTTGCCACACACATTGCATATAAAGGGTTTAATCTTGTTGTGCACCGTCTTTACATGCTTGGAAAGCGTCTTTCCATTGACAAACTTTCGACTGCAAATCTCACAGGTCTTCTCCGCATAGTATTTGTTTTTCTTGGACGCTGAAGGCGCTGGCGGTGCGGGTTGTGCGGCCATGTCAGCGGACTGTTCCTTGAGCTTTTTCATCCGCTGAACGGCGGCTAGGGATCGAAGCACCCTGGGTCGCCACTTTTTATGGACCCGCATGTGGCGCCATACCAGAGCGGATACGGGAGATTTGTATTTGCAGCCAAGAGCGGGACACTGCAGGAAGTCCACATCTAACTGGTGGGCTTTCCACAGGTGAGCAGAACAGCGGCGCCAATGGGACAGCTCCAAGCCGCATTCGCAGCAGGTGAAGGTGCTGTCCTTGTGGCATATAGAGTGCATTTCCATTTTCCCAACGTCCTGGAACTTAAAAGGACAGTCTTTGCTGAAGGAGCACCTTTAAAAATTGCATATTTAGTTTTGATTTCTAAACAGCTTCGTTGATTCTACCTACGGCACTTGCATGTTGGCCCGCAGGACCAGCCGAAAGTCCTTAAAGGGCATGGGCTGCAGCTCACTCGGTGCTTGGTCTGCATCCTCCAGCTGTAGATCAGGGATTTGTTTATTCTGCGCATTCCTGCCGGCTAAATGTTGTTTTGCCAATTTGCACTTTGTGCCGGGCACTGATTGCAGTGGCTGGCAGCCGTGGAAGAACACCATGTGTCCGCGGAGGTCCTCCTGGAGATCATATTGTCGTAGGCACAGGCTACACACATAAACAATACGCGGCGAATTTTCCATTTCTTCATTGGAGTGTGTAAAAGAGTTTCGCAGCGGGAAAATATTCTTTGAAGTGTGACCGCTTTTTCCCAAATTTTCCGGCATTAGAAGAGTGCATATGTTACGGTCATACTTAATTTACCCGGCTCATTTAAAACTTAAGATACGTTCTATACTTCCTTGTGCAGGTATTCCAAATTGCTGCCATATTAAGGCGTCTGGGAGCTTTCCAATGGAGGTGTCACCACTAGACTAACATGCCTATTGCTTTGGGACAAAAATTTATCAAAACCAATCAAATGTCGAACGTGCCTTATGTTTTAAAAGACCCGGGAAACAAAGTATGACCGCACGTTTGCCATCCAAAAATGCCGAAAACTTTGAAAAGAGCGGTCATACTTCAAAAGAATAATCATTTTCCTGCTGGAAAACCGTACCACACTTTAATTATCTTACTATAAGAGAAAAAACGAAATTAAACGAAAGGAAATATTCGTTTTTAAAGCCTAATACTAATAACAAAATTCAAAACATCGATAGTGCAAAAAAACCGATGATTGATAACTATCCAAACATCGATAGTATCGATAGTGCTCCGATATTAGCGTGTGTAAATTTGCGAAAATAAAATTAAAATAGGCGAAAAATAGTCTCGGGCTTAGCTAAAATGGGCAGCGCGCTGGAAAACTATGTGAATCAGGTGCGCACGCTGAGTGCGTCTGGTAAGTTGGCCCAGCCGGCGCTCCACAAGTCCGGCAGAGAGAAAACCGGAGCGGTCGCCGCCTTTGTTTTGTTATTTACACTCTTCTCGAATTTCTTGTGTCTCGATTGCAGGCAGCTACCGGGAGCTGGCCGACGAGCTGCCGGAGTCACTGTCGCTGCTGGCCCGTAACTGGAGTATCCTGGACAACGTGCTGGAGACGCTGGACATGCAGCAGCACACGCTGGGTGTGCTCTACGTGCTGCTCGCCAAGCTGCATAGTGCCGGCACGGCCAATCCGGAGCCGGTGCAGCTCATCCAGCTGATGCGCGACTTTGTGCAGCGCAACAATGCGGATCAGCTGCGCTTTGCTGTGTGCGCCTGTAGGTTTTGCTGTCACTCCCATCCCACATACATTCGGAACTGACCTTTCGCTTCCATTTTCCACAGTTTACGAGACATGCCATCTGTTCACGGAGTTTGTTGTCCAGAAGAACCTGAGCATCCTGGGCCTGCGCATCTTGTCGCGCGCCATCGACCAGATCCGACAGTTGGACACCCAGCTGACGCCCATTCACGCCGATCTCTGCCTGCTCAGTCTAAAGGCGAAAAACTTCGGTGTGGTGCTGCCGTACCTGGACGCGGACATCACAGACATCTCCACCGTGGCCGGCGAGTGCAAGACCCAGCAGCAGCAGCAGTCTCAACACACGGTGGTGAACGGCAAACTTAGCCTAAAGATAAATCGTACTTAGCCCGCGACTTTCTTTGCAGGATGCCAACAACGATGCCAAGTACTTCCTGCTGTACTACTACTACGGTGGCATGATCTACACGGCGGTGAAAAACTACGAGCGCGCCCTCTACTTCTTCGAGGTGTGCATCACCACGCCAGCCATGGCCATGTCGCACATCATGCTGGAAGCTTACAAGAAGTTTCTCATGGTTTCACTCATTGTCGAGGGCAAGGTAAACTTGCATCCACAATTTGCCCGAATCTCATATATATCAAGATTATTTCACGATTGCAGATACCGCATATACCAAAAAACACACAGGTCATTGGCCGCTTCATGAAGCCGATGGCCAATCATTACCACGACCTGGTCAATGTGTACGTGAATTCGTCAAGCGAAGAGCTGCGCATCATTATCCTCAAGTACAGTGAAGCATTTACGCGTGATAACAACATGGGACTGGCCAAGCAGGCAAGTACTCGACTATTACTAGTCTAGATCATAACTTATAAATTATATATATATTATGGAATTGCGTCATAGTTTAGATAATACCATTAAGTCGTTTTTAATGACCTGAGCCTTTATTTTTTTATTGGTGTTTTTTTTTTAATTCCATATATCTTGGTTTGGTTTTATAGAATAGGTAGTTGTGAGTCTTGCGATATGTTAAACCTTGGAAGTCATTGTAGAATTGTGTTTTTCTTAACATGGTTTAACTTTTTCGATGGGAATCAATTTATCCCAAATCATCAGTCAAATCCGAATATTTATTGAAATATTTATGAGTGGTATAAGTAAAGATTTCTACAAATATTTATTTTACTTCTTAATAAATCTTATATTTTTTAGTTGCAGTTAATCTAAGAAGGTTCTAGTTAACTATAAGTTACACGCGAACTAAACAGAAACCCAAGTGTAAGAGAAAAAAAAAAACATTTCTTTAATTTCCTAAGAGGGGAAAATAAGACAATTATGAGTTCAAGCCAAAGCGGAAGAGATTTACTAAAATTCATTCTTTAATTGGCCTTTGTTGTTTTAAATAAAGATTTTATTTTGATTTTATGCGGAAGTGCGCGCTGTGTTTATATATAAAACCACAGCCTATTTCCGGTTTCATACACTGAACAAAAATTTAAATCGATTATTTTGATTTAATTTTTGCAGGTGGCAACCTCCTTGTATAAGCGAAACATCCAGCGGCTAACGAAAACCTTTTTGACCCTCTCCCTGAGCGATGTAGCCAGCCGTGTGCAGCTGTCCAGTGCCGCTGAAGCGGAGCGTTACATATTCAACATGGTAACAGGGTTGGAGCTTTAGCTTACATATAGATTTCAATTGCCAATTAATTTATTGCAGATAAAATCTGGTGAAATCTATGCCAGCATCAATCAAAAGGACGGCATGGTGTTGTTCAAAGACGATCCAGAGAAATACAACTCACCGGACATGTTCCTTAAAGTGCAAACGAACATAACTCAGGTTCTGGATCTAGTTAAGCAAATCAACAAAATGGAGGAGGAGATCATATTGAATCCACTGGTTGGTTTCACATGGCATTTCATAGAAGCAAACACTTGTTTAAGCCTGTTTTACCTCTTGTTTTTTAGTATGTTAAAAAGGCCCTTGGCAGCCAGGATGATGACCTAACGTCGCAGCATCCAAAGACCTTCTCGGGGTAAGTGCTCCACTAATTGAGGTGCAATAATTGATATTAATTATCCCGGAACTTACAGCGATCCCACAGATTGATTATGCCACCGCCGCAAATCCACCAGCAGCAGATTGCTCTGCTATCATCTTCGTTCGCTCATCCAAGTCGCAGCTGCGAGGCCCTGGGCCTCCGATGCGCTGAAGACTCCCCGCAGTCCATACTCTCATCCAGCTAAAATAACAACAAACTGCGCTCTAATTGCAAATTTATAGATGAACATGCTATTTTAAATAAACTATGTATAAATCTATGACTAAGCGAGGCTCTCTTATCAGCTATTGCCTTTGACTCACACGATTTTCGTACAATACGTCTCGATACTGCACCGATAAGGCGGCATTCTACGCGATTCCACGGCATTCTACGCATCGATCGGCGGCGATCAGGCGACATTTACAATTCCGCCGACCGGTTAAGTGCTTTGTACTTGCCCCCAATCTACCTTAATTGCCGCTCGTCCAGCCATTATCGCTCTCAAGATACCTTTATTTACAATATCAATATGTAACCTAACCTTAGGGTAATATGAACAATTAATTGACTAGATACCAGCGGTAGTAAGTTAATTTCTAGTTGTGTGTAAGCCTAGTTTCGTGCTGTCTATGGCTAATTGCTTTGCTGTTTGTATCACCAGGCGTCTCGTGTGCGAGTGGGTGTGTGATTGTGGGTTGTGCAGCTGCCATGCCATGCCTGTTGGTTCTCCGATCGCCTGAATTAAAAAAACCGAAGCGCCGCCGCCGTCGCCGGACTGAGATTCGATTCTCGGCGCCTCTCGCTGGCAGCTGGCCGGTGACTGCTGGCTAACCGGTTTTCATGGCGTCTAGCTCCGAGATGGCGGTCTTCAGGGGACTGATACACCCGCCGATCCGTCGCTGTTGAGGCTGCGATACAGCTTATGGACCACATTGACCATTATGAAGCAAACAATCAGAACTAGCAGCGACATAAAGGCATAGGCCAATACAATTGGCGTGTCCGATATGGGATCCAGCATCTTGATCGCTTATCTTTATACCAAATATGCTCCTTCAAATTTTTCGATCTGTCTTTGTACTGAAGCTTCCGAGCAAAGAAATGTGATGTGTGTGGTGCGTACGACAATTTGAACTTTCGGACAGCTCAGGTAAGGGTAAAGAGACGACGGGGTCTCCGCGTTGTATGTTAATTAGCCAAGCGAGCATATATAGCGTGTGTATATGGAATTCTGGATTCGGATTCGGATTTGATACCGCGCCTCGTTGTGCCGTGTGCCTTGTACCGTGTGTGTGCGTCGCTTGACACCTGCCCGAGAACTGAAAACGAGCGCGTTAAATGAATGGAACTTTGCTTGCCATTACGTATACGCTTCGTTGCCAGACTGTTGCTGTAGTATATGTTGTTTGTTGCTATTCCATCGGCTGTGCTGCGTCCAGTCCAGTTTGTTTTTATTTTTTATTTTTGTGATGATAAGCTTCTTGTGCAATCCGTGTTGAATCTGTGTAACTTGGGCCGAGATTAGAAATGTTTTCCCGGCTTACGGGCGACCGCATCTGGCTACTTTTTGGGACCCAGCTTGATTTTTATATTTATAGTCCATGGAATTCCAGAGTCATATTCATACCCATTCGCCAGGCAATCAAGGCAACAGCGCTGCCTTCTTAATTGGCCGCGTCAATAAAGAATGAAATGGCGTCAAGCGAATTGCTTGGGGTCTCTCCTCCCGCCTGGGTGGCGGGATTCGGGTGGGGGCTATGTGATTTGGCAATTATACGGCGATAGCCCCGACGCCACCACCACTCGGTCTGGAGTCATTTTTATCTATTGATAACGAATTCCACTGTCAGAATGATAAGCCCCAAAAAAACACGGCCCATACAAAATTGAGATTGGGAGACATGAGATATGAGAAGACATGAGCGTAGCCACAAATATTTACTCGGTGTGATAAGAATCTATTTGAGAGGTTGAAAAATGCCCTTTTTTCAATTGTAATCTTATGAAAAAATCATTAGAAAAGCTACAAAAATTCTTTATTACTTCCTACAAAATTCAGCAATAAAAACTAAACACTCGTATACTTATTCAATTCATTTGAGTTTTATGTTGTTTTAAGGTTCAAATTTAAAACCTCTTCCATGTGCATTACATTGTTTCTATTTGGAAAATATATTATTCGATGTCTCCTATAGTCTGCACTTTGAACACAGCACTGTAAAATGCCTTTACTGTGAGCAAAAAATAGATTTTCTAATTTTAGAAAAAGATTCCTCCACAACTATCCAAATTTATTGAGGAGTTTCCCCTAGCAAGAAGTTAATTATATTTTCAGGTTCTTCCACAACAAAGACGATCCAAGGGGGTTTGGGTTCCTTGCGGGGGTCTGTTGCCACCCCCTGGCTACGCCTCTGCTTGGGTGCTGACTTTCACCTTCGCTAGTTGTCACGCGATATCCATAAGCTGTCGTGAGCTCAGCGACCGACCCACTGACCGACCACCCGTCAACCCTGTAGTCTCCACTGCCACCTCCAATTCCACCTCTGGCTCCTGATCTTTGTATTCTCTTTATTAAAACGAGTTTCAGGCCCACATCACACAACAGCCCGTTAATGGCTGTGTTCTCTGACGCCTCTTCTCTCATCTGAAACCAAATCCCCATACCCTCACTCCGGTTGCCGGACGTTCCACGAGCTCCGCTGGCTGTGGGGCCGGCAGGCGGCGCCTTGATCCGTGCACTGAGCATCCCGCGGTTCCAGAACAACGTCGTCCAGCCTTACCTGCGTAAAGCTATCCGGGCGCGGTTCCGGCCGCCGCTGGTTGCACTTGAGCATGACACGCAGGCGGGGAATATTGGTGAGGTGGTCATAGTACCGGACAACGTGGATGGAGCCCGAGGGCTGGGGATCAAGGGCGGCACAGCCGGGCTCATCCAATTGACAGTTGCACAGAAAACTGAGGGCCCTTCGGCTGGGCGTCACATTATACTCGATGCTGACCAGGTAGCAGGGCTCCAGGGAGAGCACTATCCGCAGAACTGGTAGAGGGATGAGGAAGCAGGAGGTAGCGAGGAGAAAGAGCCAGCGAACAGTGATCTTACCCGAAGAGGACTCTAGAATCTGGGAGCGGTTCTGGATCCAAATGGAGCGCAGGCTCGGCTGATTGGAGCGCGGGTAGCGCAAGGATCCTTCGAGGTATTCCCGTACGGTCATCGCATGATTGGAAGATGGTCGCACCTGTAGGCGAGAGTTGTTGGGCAGCCCGGCCAGCGGCAGATTCTCGTAGACGGAGATATAGATCTTGTGGCTGATGTAGACAACGATGAAGCACAGGATGCAGGTGAGCAGCAGTATGAGCAGGTAGGTGAACAGTGTCGGTATGAAGAAGATGGCGTCCAGAAACATGGGGCCGTTCCGGAAGCTGTGACAGGAGACTGACAGGAGGAGCAAATCTACAGAGAAGTCTGCGGAAATCCATGGGAGGATCGCATGGCTTGACTTTTGCAACATCTATGTAAATGTATTTATTTCTCAGTTTCTTTTTTGTATTTTTTGTTCATTTTTTTGTTGTTGTTTGTTGTCAGTTTTATAGAATTTTCTGCCTTGGCTTTTACATACGATTTTACATTGATAATATTATGTTATTTTGTTTGTTTGTTTTTTTGTTTCTTTTTTAATTAATTGTATAATCCACTCGATCTCGATCTCTGCATGCAGTTTAAAGTTAATTTAGCTTGCCTTCCCTATTGTTTTTATTTCTCCATTTGCTCCTTGACCCGCCGGCGGGTCGTCCATCGACGCCCGAAGTGGACGTGGTCCGCACACTGCGCAGACCCCTTCAAATATTCCTAGGCTCAACCTTTTGCATTTATGTATATGTAGCTTCATAGGTGTGTGTTGTATGGTGTGTGTGGTGTGTGTTATGCAGCAACAGCTTAAGATAATGCGCCATGATCTATCGAGCAGATATAAGCTTTACAAATATATATACACACAAATTGTTTTGTCATCTGTTTCTTTTCCTTAGCTTTTTGTCAGAGTGCGCGGTAAATGCAACTTCTCGTTTGGGTAATATATGCAGCAAGGATTCACGCGAATTCACACATACACACACAGCCACACTTGCTTCAAGGAGGATATTCCATAAGTCCTATAGAGTTTCTTTTTAGAATATATTTAGGTCTGTTATCATTCATTTTACAGAAGGTCACAACTCAAGAAGCTATGATAAATATATTCAGTATACTGAAAAGTACAAAAATTTTGTATCTATCATTATCCTTCTATTCATCGCATTATCTTGTGCTAACTTTCCAACTCTATTTAATCTAGGGAATATCCTTCTTTAACACTCTTTAGCAGCTGGCAGTTGCTGAGAACCAAAAGCCTTAGTTAGTCTTTAACGAAATCATAAAACTATGTTAAAAATACTCGCACACGAAAACCGTTCGTTGGTGAAACAAGAAACATGTCGCTTCAATTCGTTTTCTTTTGATTTTAATTCTCAATTTAAGGTTTCCATTTTGTAATGCCTGTCGCTGACTAAGCTTTACGATTAAAAATAATTTACTAAAATTAAAAATAATAAAAACATTTTCCGAACTCCTGCCGTTCTGCTAACGAATCATCATACAAGCAAAATACAATTCTTCTTCATTTTCCGTCTTTCATTTTCCTAGACAAAACTATGACTTCATTTCCCTCTTGTCTAGATATGTGTGTGTGTCTATGTTGTCTATGTGTGTGTGTGTGTGTATGTGCGTGTTTTCGGTGCGCCTGTGTGTGCCAGTTGCGCTATTATGTTTGAGTTTGATTTTACTTATTACAATTATTCATCTTGCTTATTTCTTTGCTTAAAAAACAATCAGATGTCAGTTGGATGAAACGTTTTCTTTTCTTTTCTTGTTTTTTTGTTGTTTCTTTTTTTTCGCTTTGGGGAGGCAGCATGTTCCTTAAGTTATAGAGATATATATATAGAGCGAAGAGCGTAAGAAGTCGTTGGAAATTGAAGTATATAAGAGAGTGAAGCCTGGGAAAAATTATCTCCGATGCGGGGGTTGCGGTGTGCGGGGGAACATGCCGCCGCAACCTTAACACAGAGACACACACATACACAATTATTTAACTTCAGCACAACATACAGAATCAGATAATTAACATTTTTGTTTTTGTTGTTAATGCCCTCCAGCCCCGCAGCGCCGTCGGAATATTCTGAATCTCTGACAGAACTCGATCTCCTAGCCTGGCCTCCTGGCTGCAAATTAACTTTACACACTTAAATATTTTACGTTAATTTTGTTATTTATGCTGCTGAGCGTTTTCTCTTCTCTTATTATCCACTTATTTCTCTTCGTCTTCGTGTTGTTGTTGTTTGTTTGTTTGTTTTGTTAGTTTCTTGTTGATTTTTATGTTCGCTGCGTTGTTGCTGTTGATGTTGTTGTTGTTGTTGTTGTTGGTTTTGTTGCTGCTACTGTTTGCTGTGGTTGATTTGTTTGTTGTAATGTTTGCTGCTGCTGCTACTGCTGCTTAGACGGACAACGAAACGAAACTGTTATACTGCGTGATGTTGCGCTTAAGGATGTCAGCGCAGGGTCCCAGAACACGTTCGAATCTGTGTTAAAAAGATGAGATTATAATTAGTAATAATTAAAGATTAAAAAATACATTTGTATCAGTATAGGCATTTCAACTAGGTCTCTAGGATTCATCATAATAAATTTTAAAGTTTATCAATAGCTCGTACTCAAGTTTTCAGAGAAGAACTTCCATAAACTTATATAAAGTTCAATAGAGAAAACCAAAGGAAACCTTTCAGAAAATAAAATCCTATTCTCTTGAGAGTCAGATATACTACAAAAACTATGAAATGTTGTCTTTTCTGCTAACTTTTTTACATATTTCCTCATTAAAATAAAATGCCAACACTGATTTACAATACTTACCTCGCTCGGTCCAGCTTGACGCACTTGAGCGGCCCGCGGGCCACGACAGTGGCCGCCCTTGGTCGGTCCAAAAGCAAAGCAATCTCGCCAAAGTAATCGCTGCTACCCAGACGCCCCACCTCGGCGGGTTCCTCGCCCTGCTGAGATAAGATAAGCCATTTGTTAGGTGAATCTCCAGGTGATCCGGTAATCCGATCGGTCACTCACCTCCGAACGCTGCTGCAGTACAACCGCACAGCCCTCGAGGATGATGTAGAAGTCATCGCCAGCGGCTCCCTGCTTCACGATCGTTTCGCCATCCTCGAAGGAGCACGTCTCCAGGGAATCGGCCACTGTCAGGCGCTCCCATTTGTCCAGGCTCTCCAGGATGGAGACACGCGATAAGAACTCCTCGTACATCTTGCGCTTCCTGATTGTCGAGCCCATCAGGATGCGGCGGTACGAGTCGCGGTCGATGCCCCACAGCTTCACGTCGGTCTTGGCCCGCACGGTGGCAGCGCGTGGAGTGCCATAGATCAGGGCCAGCTCGCCGAAGCTGCCGCCCTCGCTAATGGTGGTCACCAGTTCTGCGTTGACAAACACCTGGAAATAAGAATAATTTGAACAATTAAGGATTCACGACTTTAAAATAATATAGATATTTAGAGTTGGACAACTACTCACATCCACTTCTCCCACATCGATCACGTAGAAGTTGTCGCCCTCATCGCCCTGCCGTATGATGTCCTCGCCGGCGATGTGATTCACTGGGAACATGGCATCGAATATATCAGAGCGCTCGCTCTCGTCCAGATGGGCGAAGAGCACATTCTTGGCAATGGCCTTGGACAGTGCGTTCATCGTTTTGTAGTCCTTGGGCACCACCTTTTTGACGTAGTTGGCGGCATCCTCTTCGGTAACGGGCTCGGCGGATATGCCGCCGCGCCTGCGCACGGGCGGAGCTGCTGTCTGTGGCATCGGGCTGAGATCGTCGCAGTCGTCGGGGCTGATTACCTGTCTACTGGCATCCAGTTTGACTTGTTCCTGCCAAAGATATATAAAAATATATAGAACTTAAGTATTTGTTCTGGTTGATCGATCCTATTCAAAATTTCATCGTATCAGACTCTGAATATAGGTTAATGGTACTGCAATTATTTTTAAGTTAATCTGTGCAAGTGGTGGGCTTTTTATAGTTTGTAGACCATTTGTATAGGGTAATTAATAAAAGTCTTGAAGTGAAAATGAGTTCTTAATTTTTAAAATAATTATCTCAAGGGTCTAGACGTTGATTCTGAACCAAAAACCTTTCAAAACGTATATATCTATAAAATTAAACCTGCATTTATTTAAGGAAATATATGTTTTTAAGCTGGAAATGGATTGCTTGCAATAATGATGTATGAAACTCTTTGCAGTCAAAGAAATATTATATAACATATGTATCTAAACTAATGCTATCCACAACATCTAAAGACTTCTTTTTTTTTGCAATAGAACTACATTTCACTATGAAACATTTTCCCACAACTGATCAATTTTTCTCTCACTTTATATCAATTCGGTGGCGGAGGAGTAATTAAGTGCTTTTAAATAGAGTACGTTCTTTACAAGCTGGATTAATGTGCGTCACTCTCGGTGGGAGTGTGGCAACTGCAACCAGTGGTTATTCACTGCAACATTGTGCATACGCCAGGAGATGCGTCGCACCCGGGAAAGCTCCTCTCGCCCACACCCGAAACTGATTAAGCTCTATTCCGGAGCAACCGAGCTCCCGAGCTCCGGCGGCTGTCAAGAGTCGTGGAGCCAAAGAGCTTTGCCTCCTGACTTTTGCTGCGCATTCCCCTGTCTTCCTGTCTGTTGCTCTGTTTATCTTTGGTTCCTATGCAAATCAAGGCGGATGCACTCACACACACACCACCCTTGAAATGCCACCAACCCAGCCAGCCAGCTGTCCTCCTGTCCAGTTCTGTCCAATTGCAGTGCGATTGCCACTGTGACGTCAACGCAGTTGAGCAGAAATGGCCAGCTGCCACAAGACGCTGATTAAGTTGCATTAAATTGTCACTCAACCTGACTGCAAGTGGCAGTTATGGCTGCGTATCCTATAAATATGCTGATCCACTTGCAGATATAACCAAAGCAGCTCACATTTTGGGCACCAACCAGATTACAGCTAATGTCGAAAGTGCTTTCAAGGATTTATAATGGCATTTATAGGTTTAGAGATTCATCCTTAAACTTAAATGGACCATTGAAGTTACATTATAATTTAAAGACATATACTTACAATGAAACTACTGTAAAAACAAATCTAGATCTAACAGAAACCTAAAAACTTAAAGAAAACACACAATTTTCTTTATGCTTTATATAATTTGAAACTCTCATATTTCTATCACAAAAGAAATATGTACTTGTATCTGCTTTCCCAGCCACGTTCGAGTGTTTGGATTTATCAACAAAATAATGGCACTTGATTCGATTCCCGCAGTCGACCGCAACCTCTTCAACGAAAATGATTTTACTTTAACCATAAACATCATCGTCAAGCCCCGCAAAGAACTTCAAATGAACGACGCTGCTCATTAATTTTTATTGTCTAAACAAACGCGTATTATGCCAAGCGAGAAATCGCCTGAAGTACGCACGAATAGTGTAAACAAAAATTCGGGGGGAGAAATACGGTGAAAATGCCAACAGAAATCGTCAATTATAAGGTGAGCTAAGCAATTTGCTGGGCAAAGCGATCATGGAACGTGGATGACGATACGATACGATCGATCTGCTCAATGAATTCCCCCGGCGAATGTCGCCCCAATCAATTGACGAAGCTCTTGGGTGGCTGCCAGTCACCTGAAGGAACCTGCCGCCCCTGCTGAAGTCAGGTGTCAAAACAGAAAATATCGAGAATACTGCCTGTTGCCCATATTCATCAACGTTTGGCATACAAATGGATCGTAATGTGGCAGCCAAGTAATCCTAATACACTCGAACAAATGCATTATAAAACATTAAATACTTTAATCATAAAGATAATTTGTTTATTTATGAAAGTGGAAGAACCTCTTAGAGAGATTATGTTAATCAACAAATAATCTTAATTTTCATACAAAATAAATTCATTATGTACAATATAAGTATTACTTTGTTTATGGTATATAAGATAGTTAAAATGTACAATTGCTAATAATGAGATATTATCCTATTACAGATACCAAGATAAACCTTTGGATTAATCTGTTTTCTTGATCATTCAATAAGCTGGCTCGAATAAGGCGTTTTTGGTCTCTTTACAATCCACTTCTTCCTATTTTTACTTTTTACCAATGAAAAACCCTTTAAAAAAACCTAAGAATATAGCCTTCAAAAATCAAAACAATACTATTGAGGTTTTTGGTCGACAAAGAAAAAATTAAGGTGCACCTTAAAGGCACATTCTTAATAAAACATTAGAGTTATGTATTTTATTGAAGTAAA